GGTACTTTGCATGGGGGGTACTGAAAAAGGGAGGTACTTTGGTCAGTACACTACGGTAGTAAACAAACCAAGTGTCAAATTTCTTCTTAGCCTAGCCAACAGGTGGATAGGTATTAGGATAAATATGTAATTAATCTGACTTTACATAGACAAGAATAAGTATATATTGTATAAATATGTCGAATTAAGGTAATAGATTGCATTGAATTTGAAGAATCAGATTATTGTTCAAGGTAAAAAGATTCAGATTGTGTAGAAGGGCTTGGATTATTGAAGTATATTAAGTTTATTAAGTTTTTTTTAGTTAGAGAAGTTAAAACAATAGAGTTTCTATAATTATTCATATAATTGTTCATTTATTTTAAGTAATATATTGATTACTGCTTAAAAAGCAATTTTGTAAGAGATATCATAATTTTGAATAGTTTTAATTAAAGATATAGAGATTAGACCTTTGAATGTAATATCCAAGTAGTATGAATATAATTGAAAAGCAAATAGATGAAATGCTTCATGATTGTAAATTTTGTGAATAAGTTCCTCTAGCTAGTTATTTGAAAGATCTAGTTCTACTAATTTGAAATATTATGTAGTAGTATTAGTAATAATTTGGTAGATTAATTCAGAGTTTTGACAACTATACCAATGTAAAGATGAATCTGGTAAAATTATAGTAGAAGCAGTTAATATTTGAAAAGATCCTAGGATATTGTGAATAGTAAAGATGGTAGGTTGGCAATTCATTAAGTAAGATTTTGATTTTAAAGGATTTGAATTGATTAAGCTTAAAGTTTGTAATATTAGAAGTAGATTTTTGATTATGGTTAAAGTATAACTAGGTGGCTTTTTAATCAATTTGATGGTTAAATGAAAACTACTTATTATTCTAGTTTTGTGATGATTACATTGCCAGAATTTGGGCTTTATATATCTTTTTAACAAATAAATAGATAAAGAGCTTAACAAAATATTGCTCATCTTCCCACTGAAGTATATAATAAGAATTCTAGATATTGTTATAGTTAAAAAGAAGTGATGTATCTAATATATGTTGTTTAGCTAATAAGTCAGCTAAGTTATTAAAAGCATTATCTGAATGAGCTAAAACTTTAATAAACACAAGTTCTAATTTATATAAAGAAATAATATTAAGAAGTATATGCCATAGAGGTTATACATTAAATTTAAGAAGTTTATTAGGATTACTAAGAGGAAAATTAAGTTTGATATATTTGGATATAATTGATTAGAAATCTATATTTATATTAATTATAGAATTACAAGGAGTTATTGAAATGGCAAACAGTATAAAAAAGAGTTCAGCTTTATAAGAAGATGACTAGAAATGAATTTGAGCTGAGAATTTGTTAATGATTTGATTATTGTTATCTATTTGGACCCCTATATCTATTGAACACTGTTCAGTACCAATATTAATCACTAAATATCAGTATAAAAATTAAATTATCTTTGGGTAGAATTTTGAGCAAAGATATCTTCTAATTTAACAGTCTTGTCATTGGTTTTAAAGATTGTAGAAATTGTAGAGTTACTAATAAGAATAGAAGTAGGAGAAGGTAGTGAAGGATCTGAAAGTGAAAATTTCACTGCAGTAGAAAAAAGGAGGTCTATATAATTGAAGATTAATTTAAGATTATTATTAAGGAGTTTGCCAAAGAACTGAGCAGAAATGGTTTTGGATATATTGATTGTATGGTGGATAGTTATCAGTTATATTCTTATTACAAATCTACATCACTTAAGCATCTTTTCTATAGATAGATTTAATTTTCTCGACACTCATTTTATCTACAGCCTATTTAACTGACATCACATAGGGTTAGGGTTAGGGTGTCTAGCACGGCTAAATAAATTTAGCATGCCATATGGCATGCCATTGTCTAAATTCGTGCCAAGATGCCACCCTGGCATGCCATGGCATGCTGCATAGGGTTAATCACTATGTGGAAGTTACACACATCAAAATTAGCAAGCATAATTGGTCATCTAATTGCTGCGCCAATCATGTTTGCTAAGTGACTCTAAAAGTTAATTAATTCACAATTCAGCAATTAACGTTCAAATCAATATAATTTTATAGAAATATTGAACTATCAAATCTATTTTTTATTAGAATCACTCGACAGAGTTCTTGTGTGATATTATAATAAAAACCGACAAATAGATTGAAGTATGTATTATATTACGATTGCAAGAACTAATATATTTGTGAAAAGTCTGAGTTTTAGATCCTTTAATAAGCTAATTTATGTTCTCTTTTTATAGTACAATATATTTTAATGGTGTTAAAATAATGATCATAGTCTCTGATCTTAACAACATTAATGAAGTAATAGGTATTCATCTTAATATACAGAATGACAAAGCAATTCACACAACTATAAAATATGTCTAGTCACAAAAACTTCATGCTTATTCAGATATTTTATTTATTTATACTAATTAGACACCGTATAATTTACTATATATTTGACTTAGGATTGAAAAAGGATATCATCAATTGACCAATCCTCCATGCTAATAGGCTTTTGTAGATTAATCGTTGAGCTTTCTTCAATTTCTTGATTTTGTTTGAAGGTGCTGATATCAAAGTATTCCTCCATTATGAACCCATCACTTGTATAAATACTTATCGCTTCAATATCAATTTTCATAGACTCTTCAAATCTTTCTTCTTTAAGTAAAAGATCAACATTAATGTTCTCAATTTCCGTAGTAGTAAGATTTGTGGTGGGATTTGTAGATGAATTTTGATCTTTTTTTTTTTTTTTAATCTTTCAGGTAGTTTTTGATGAAGGTCATGGCAAATCATTCCAAGCATTTCTATTAGGATAGGGACATTCTATTTCGTGATTTTGTTTTTACTAACCTTAAACCAGAAAATAGCCTTTCAACGGCTGCCACATGTGGAACAATCGAAAAGATCTTTATAGCAAACCATCGAAGAAGTGGGGAACTTTTATCAAACTGGGTCCAGAAGGTTCTGAGATTAACATTCTTAATATTTTGATAAGTACTAAAAGGAGGATCACCATTCTTATAATTAATAAGCTCTTTGTACAAAAGAGTTGTTTCTTCTTTATCAAAGCTCCAAACTTTTGCTAACTCTAAACAAGCTCTGATAATTATATTTCCAGACATTTTTTTTGACATTGCAATTTGTTTATAATATGGCGACAAAAAGAGAGCAACAAAATAAATATCATCAGAGAACTTGTGGGCCTGTTTGTCAATAGCCGCTAATGCATGATTTTTGAATCTATTGATTGGAATATTAGTAGTTGAAATGGTATAATGAATGTTT